TTCCACGTTAACGTATCATTGATTGTCAAACCGAGTAACTTTGTGCTCTGTATGGTTTGGATAGCAGATCCGTCTATGCAGACCCTAGGGAGTTGCGGGGGATCACGACTGAAGGATATAACTAATTTTTTAGTTTTTTCGCCATTAAGCGGGAACAAATTTTTCTTGGACCAGTCGTAGATTGCTTCTACTGCTTCTTGTGACTTGCTCTGTCGGCCTTTAGGTATGCTCTCTGATACCGTGGTATCATCAATATATTTCCACATGTTAAAGATACTTGGAACAGTCAAGTCATTAATCATCAAAAGAAAAAGCCAGGGAACCAACTTTGTCCCCTGTGGTACTCCAGACGGCACTGGATTGCTTGCTAAAAAGTTCTCTGACAAAACAGCAATATATTTTTTTGCTATCCATCGTTGACAGTGTAAATTGACAGTCGTGGAAATTTTCTGAAGGTGACGTTTCGAGCATTTTCCCTTCGTCAGAGAGAATCTGTTTGGTAGTTTGCTTACATAGTTGAGTATATTTAGGTAACATCTCTGGAATATTCTTTGTACTTTTGCGGAATGCCTTGATAATTCCCTTCATCTCAATAGGTAAGCTGTGCAGACTCAGTATTACTACCGTGATGTCAAACCAGCCAGCCAATCAAAAACCACGATTTGTAACCTTTTACACCTTTCCTAAACACACCTTCGTAGTCGAAGAGAACACGACAAGCCGTTTAGTTGCAGTGATCTGCTGGGAACTTTACTGGGCATTAGATCTCTCGTGTATCTACAAATACAGGTGAATGATTGTTCTTTTTTTTACGCTTTGAATATCATTTAGATTAACTTGCATTCTCTGTCTCAAAGCAAGAATGAAAACTCCCTAACGGACTGTCCCTAGATAAATATCGCGTGGGGAATTGTATGGTTGTATACAACGGTTCGGCCACCTTTCTGGAAACCCACTGTGAAGGAGATTACCTTATTCGGCAAAAATGAAGTTTCCTTGTGATCAAACATATGGGAAGACTATGACATGAAGCTCCTAAGTGTGTCACAAAAAGGAGATTCAATAAAATGATTAAAATGAGTTTTACAATTCAAGAATGAGGTGCACAAAGGCGTGATATCAGATTCATAACTATCACGATAAACCTGTTTGATATTAACATTAATTTGATGTCCTGATACTCAGATATTTCCGAAAACGGATTGCTACAAGAAATTGTAGTTTCTAAGTTGGATCAAAACCCTACGATGTGAAGACCATGAATAAATGCGAAAACTTAAGCATAAACAAAGCACCATCAAGTAATCGTTCAATACTCGACTTTCTCGTTCAGTTGCATCACGCGCCATAATTTGTAGTAGTAGTAGTTTTTTATTTAATGTGGCACCACACTTAGCTACAAGCTACTTTCCAGGAAGCCCACAACAAAATATCAGTCAATAAAAAATTACAACCTACATCAAGAATTATGTACGTTAAGTAAAATATCATTATAAAAAGAATATCGCAAATTTAAATATATATTTGCATACATGCGTAGTAAAACAGAGATAAAAAAATTAAAAACTAGAAACTTAAAATTTTAGGCGACGGATATCGTGAAGAAACGTTCTTGTGCCAGCCTTTTGCGCGTATAGCATCTGGTAGCACGTTCCAAGTCTTAGCGGCAAAATAATAAAATGACTTAAAACCATGCTTGGTACTGTTAAACTTAGGTAAGGAAAGCATGTTAGTGCCTCTTAAATTGTAATCAGTCCTCCTTGGTTTAACTAAGTCAGCAATAGGTCTGAGAGCCTTATATAGGATAGCAGTTATTGACCGTTAGCAACATATCTTGAATCCTACGACTCTTCAGTGTCGTATGCAGGCCGATACAATCGAGCAAGTCTTCATATGAAATACCCTTATCTTTATATACATAGCTAAGCGCACGTTGATTTACCCTTTCCATTTTCGTTGTATTCTTTTCCCCACAGTGGTGCCATATCTGGCTACAATAATCAAAGTGAGGTAAAATAGATGCGCCATAAAGTGTATCCTTGGTTTTAAGAGGCAGGATATTTTTAAGCCTATTTAAAGCATTAACCTGACCCGCGACCTTTCGACAGATTGATGCAACATGAGCATCCAATTTCAGCTTGTCATCCAATGTTACATCTCATAATTTTATCGCACTGGAAATAGGTATTGGCCTCCCTGCGCATTCTAACTGGAAATCAGAATCAGTGTTTCCTAACTTTGATTTCTTTGGTGATCATTCCTAAAATTTTGTCACATCAATGCAAGTCTCTTTGCTAAATTGCATAAATGAAAAATTCACAAACGCCGGATGGTTAAAAAAAATCTTCGGTGCTGCGCTACTTACTGAAATCTAGTGGGTCATGCGTGTGCATTAGTGTATCATGTGACTGTCGATTGATTCAGCGAGCGGAACGAAAAGCATCTTATAAGCTTTATTTGATATGTTCCACTCACCCTTCTTACAAGTAAACTGATAACAATCACTACAATGCACGTCGTTCCATTCATAGTCGTGTTTCACACCAAGTGCGTGCGCACAATCTTCTTCTTTGAGGTTATTTGGCTGGTTCTTGGCCCACGCTGTAAAGTTTCCATGTCCACGATCCACCCAAGTAAATTCGCCCTCTGTTGATCTGTCATTCAAACCCAGCCAGGATTTATCTCCATTATGGCGATGTTGTATGTAAACATTTTCTTCATTGTTGTTTACATCTGCAAGAACTGAGTTTTCTTGTCTGCATTCTTTTACAGCTGTGGTCCAATTGGTACATGTATCACTGGTGTAGTAACAGAAACCATTGAAGTAGCTCCATGCGGGAGGACAGATGTCTGGAAGTGAATATGTTATTTAATCTTGAAAGCGTTATCATAAATTTATTGTGTATTTGCATGTTGTTTAAAGATGTGTCCTCTACACGCTTGTGGTCTGTAAGATATGCTTTCATTCCTTCTAGTCATTCAATATATACAAGACAGATCAGGTGACCAATTAACATATTAAACAGGAAGTGACTCATAATGTAACACATGTGACACATTTTAATTGCTTGAAAGTGTAACTGTAAATGTGTATATTTGATTCCAGTCCTCTTGAACATGCTTCATCTCCTCTGTATCTCAAAGTTTGAAAGTATTTGGCATATAACTCACCTGTTAGGACCGCATAACTCACTGACACAGGATCATATCTGGTCACGTACACCTCCTTGACACAGACTCTGAATCCAGACGCATTGATATTCTGCAAACAATAAAAAGTTCTCTATCAAAGTGAATCATGCAATTCTACATTTCTAGACCATCTCCGCACAAGAATTTGGGAAAAATACAAATATTTAATTTCTCTTTCTCTCGAGACATTGTTTTCTTCTCGTGGTTTGTTTTCTACTAAAGTGAATAAAGTAAGGGTTAAAACGGATTGACAAAAGTTTGTTACTCCTCGGTGATCAGGCAAATACTTTCAATCGAATCTGAGCTTTTTACCTCAATCCATGTAGAAATGCCGTTATGAACTGGTGCCAAGTTTCCACTTGCTGTTGTGCTGTGATTTGCTGATATTTGGACGGATGGTGTCGCATTGTAAATTCGTGTAAAATGCACAAACTGTCAGCAGAGTGGAGAAAAAAAGGTTACTTAGGGGAATTCTCGAATTTCTGTTTTGCTAAACATTTTTTTAAACTTCATTCATTTCCATCATCGCAATTTTACATCGAACATCAAAAGATCATTATACATTAACCTCGCAGTAAGCATTGTTGTCTTCATCTCATGGTGGATTCGTGTTTGGAAAGTTTACAGAGCCATATTCAGTGAAGAGGGGCTTATGCAACTTAGCAAACGCCATCCAGGTCTGGGAAGAAGCAAGGCACAAAACAACACATTTAGTAATAGTAAGTACAAAATATCGTTTTCTATGAGTTACAATTGAATTCCATGAAAAATTAATTGAAATGAAACTTATTTGTTTGAGAAGCGAGTTTGGACAATTTTTCCTCACCAAACAAAAATAACACTTGTAAAGAGTACTGGTCAGGCTTAAGCTCGAATACAGACTTACAATTATTATACCGAATCAAGCCGATGTTTTAACGAGACTCAAAAAAAGTTCTTAATCTAAGGAATTTATCGAGTAGCGATAGAATTTGGAAAGAGAATATCGCATACCACATAAATATCTTGATGCATGCCATCAAAGTTTTGCAGCTCACGCAAACAAGCCTTGAACGAGTCCTTGGATACATCTTCTGTCCAGATCAACGCAGCGTCGTGTTCCTTTCCACTTCTTTAGTGATCAGACGTCACAAGGACAACTGGTATACCTTTAAACTTGTCCTATACACATGTGGGGATATCATCACTTAGTGGTCTTAGTGCGTTTTTGCATTATTTTGTAGCTATGTTTGATCTGAGGTGATGTTGATAAATTAATCTTAACCAATCTAATTTTTCAGTAAAGACAAGTATCAAACTAAACTCAAAGTTAAGTAAGTTACAACTTTGAATTTAATCAAGTTACAGCTTTTGATTTAATCTTTTAACTTTTCACCGACAGTGTTTTTTTTTTCTTCATATTTTCAATGTCTTATTTTTCGCCCTAGAAATGGAGTTGCGTCTGTTAAACCAAAAGTATTGCAATACTGATAACTGGTTAAAAAGTAACTTGCCTTTGAAAAGGTTACATCTGCGCAATTCGTTCCTGACCACCATTTTGTCATCTTGATTCTTCCCGTCATTCCCTCTGGGGGTGCTCCTTGGTACGCCATCCAATCAACGGTTGCGAAAGGATTAAAGTTGTTTCCATTTCTCCCAGATTGCATAGCACAGACAGTAAAATTTTGATTGTTGACTTTTTCGGTCCAAGATGTGATAGCATGGTGCACTGTGTTGGAGTCATTCAGGTTCATGTGATTAAGGGTGATCTGTACATGAACATCTTTGTTCGGATAGAAGCGGTACGGTGGGAATACGACTGTTTTGCAACTTGAGTCTGACCAATCAGGAACTCGAAGAAGCTTAACTCGACCATGAATGATTGGAAAGCCTGCAAAGGTTTAAAAAAGCCGAGGCTGGAAATCTTGTTCATGTGTCTTGTCAGCTGAAAAAAATTATTTCTCATAGAAATATGGCCTTACCTTCACAGCCTCCAGAATGGTACAAGGTATTATTGTCCAGTCCCTTGCAGAAACTCAACTTGTACTGACATTCGTTGTCATACGTTGTTCCATTTTCGGTGCAGACTGGATCTTGATACGAAGGGCAGTTGTCATTACACACACACCGAGCTTCATGGGCACTGTATGTTTTGCAGACTCCAAATGATGGGCAAAACACGTCTAGGCAGGGATTGAGGTCTGTGAATGCAGAGAAAAATGATAGCTGCATCTGAATAAACTAAAGTGACTAAAGTTACACAACAGAATGATCGCACACGTATTTTCAGGCTGAACACAAACCTCCAATCACGTTGTAACTAACAGAGAGAGGGTCGTGTTTACTTCCTGTTCCACTCAAGTCTTTAACACAAATCCTCATGGATGTGAGGCTAACCTCCTACGCAAAGGACAGAGAAAGGACAAAAGCTAAAACAACAGCAGAACGAAAAACATAAAACATAGAAATAGACTGCTCATTTACCTCAACCCAGGCTGATATAATGTTATTTTTCGGTAAGACGGGGCTTTTCACGCTGACTTGAGGGTTGTAAATATGATGCACAGACACAAGGACAACTGGTGAGGCATAGAAGGTTGTGTTGAACTCCACTTCCTGAAAAATAGAAGAGAGGACAATATATTTGAAAGAAAATTCTAGTGATACAACGACCTCTCTTTTGCATACAAAAACCCTCCAAATTTCTTTACTTTGAAAAAGCTCCTCAAGGTTCAGAGTAAATCACAGTAAATTACACTCACTTGACAGAAACCATAATTGTCCTCAGCTGTCGGCGAACCAATGTTTGGAAAATCTGTTTCTCCTGACAGCGTTAAATTGAATTCAGAGCTATTTCCAACAAATGCGAACCAGTCCTGTAGTATAAGTTGAGTATAAGTAGTATAAGTATATAGTCGAAGCATAAGTTGCCTTCAGACAGAGTATGAGATCGTAAAAAGAACTAATGGTTTGCACGTCTACTCCTGGAAACTACGATAAGAATGTCTCTTACCACAATGGTGTCTTGATGTTTCCCATCGAAGGACAGAAACTCTCGGATGCACACCTCGAAACTTCTGGAATTTACATTTTCCAACCAAACATACATAGCGTCATCTGGCTTTGTGTCACGCGTGTATCTAGCTGACACAAACACGAAAGGTCTTGCAGGAAAATTCTGCGGTGTTTTAAAAGCATCACTTTGTAAATTTCTAGTCAAATAAACCTAAGTTCAAGAGGAAACTACGCGGCCACACCCATTAAAATTAACTTAGCTTCTAGCTTAATTGTCTTTTACGTGAGAAAGTAAGGCCTGAAATATTTCCTTCGTATTCTCTTCCATTACCAGGGTTTAAGTTTTGGAATCCACCAACAAAATTTGAAAATGTAGACTACACACCTAATGAATTAATTATGAAAACCTGTTAAAAATAGTATTTGAGTACATTACTAAGAAGATGATCAACGGCTAGAACATCCCAGCTCCTTTTGAGTGTTGCTTCATGGGATATCTCTAGCTTAAAGGCTTTGACCTCGAGCCTCAGCTTTACTCTAACCTGTGAGAAGGTAACTTTTTCACACTTAGCTTCCGTTGTCCATATCCCATCAAAAATAACGCTGCCAAGTGTCATTTGTGGATGATCTTGAAAAGCCAACCAATTGATGATTCCTGTTCCATTTGACCCAATGCCTGGCTCACGTGCACACACTCTAAAGCCACGTGCAGTAATAGATTGAACCCAGACAGCTGAAGGTGAATGCACACGTGAGAACTTCTCACCATGACTCACAGTTACGTGAACGTTAACCTGTAATTAAAGCTGAAGCGCCTTAGAGATAACGTTGTAGTAAAATTAATGTTCACAAACTATTGTTAAGACGACTGGTAAAAGTGAAATAGGTAATCTTCCAATTTTCCTCTTTCTGCACTCTTTTTTTTAAGCAAGTACTTAAGATATAGCTCGACTATTCTCTACCTTATCACGGGTTTGTTTCGCCTTCTTAATAAGCTCTTGTTTAATGACTTTGTGCGAGATTAATCATTTATTGGAACGTTGTAATGGCTCCTGCCCTCGATGATTTAATCTCCATTTTTAAGGGGTTTTGCCTGGATTGCTTCTCTTAACTTCTGAAATCTGGCCTTGAAATTCCCGGTAAGTCGACGATGGAAGTAGCAAAAAAAAGAGACTGAAGAACACGATTGAAAAAAGACGCTTAATGTTCAAAAAGGAGCAACAAAAGAAAGTCATTGGGAGGGCGTATTCTTAGGCTTTGCACGGCCAAACTCAGCCGCAACCTTCCTCACTTGTTAACATAAGACAGAGTTTCTTCATTCATAAGGAACGGCGTAAATCAAAATTGTAAAAAAGTACTCACCGCTCCCGATCCCTGGAATGCATTTGGGAATACAACATTTGTACAGCGGGGCAATCGACAATGAAGAGGGGGTGAACATGCACTGTTGCAGCTCCAATCCTGCATAGTTTTGGAAATATTAAGCCTGCCAGTTTGGAGTGGAATACCTATGGGTAAGGGCAAGTATCCTTGTAAGAAAAAATCGAGATGGAGAGAAAACAAACAGCACATTACGGCCACGTTGTTTTCTCGACTGACAAAGGCATGAGATTTCTACTATGTTTTCCAACTGTAGAGTAATGCGTGACGGCAAAGTATCATGTCACGCATTCAAGTTATTCATCGTTAACGCTCAACTAAATATTTCGTAAAGTAAACCACGAAGATTTTTACCTATCGCAGAATCCCTAGTTGTTATTACGTATGTAATTCACACTGGTAGTGAACTGACTGATTCATCCCTCCTGCTAGTGTCCACAAGTTTTCTGCATTTCTTGTTTTGCACATAACAGAACTACAGGTTTCCATTCCGGAAATTACAGGTTTCCATTCGGAAATTACAGATTTCCATTGAACTTCGAGGAATTTTCGTTCATTTTCACCGCCACGGCCATTTGTTCTTTTTGCCGATGAGAGCGACTTCACACTTAACCTCGTTCTCGCGCTGTAATTTCTGCATCAGATTACTTAATCGCGAGAACGGGGAAGTGGCCTATTGATTGACCGTAATTAATCCTCATTAAAGTCAAATATACCAGCAATAGGTTTTTAGGATCAGTGATTTTCCAGGAGAGGTCTTGTGCCGGATCACATATTACGCCAAGACAAACTTCTAGAAAGTATTTAATCTCCCTGTCCTGTTACAAAATATGATAAAATAACCAATTTTTCCTTCTAGGGTTGAAAGGGGTGTTTTTAAGGCTTTCTTCTGGTGACTGGACCTTTTCTGCAATGTTTTAAAAGGTGAAAATTAATCGGAAAGATCTGTATTGCAGACATTAGGAATGTCAGTTATTTTCCCAGACGATAAAAATATTCTCTTCATTTGGCTGCTTGGTTTAATTTAGTGAAATTCAAAGAAGTTTCTGGTTATGAAGCACTAACTTCCAACGGTTTCTTGGACGATTGCCTGAATAATGTATATACGTCTTGATTAGTTTAAAAGCCCAGCAAAATATTTTTCCAAATCAAGAAACTTAACCAGAGCCAGTTTGAGAATATTTTACAAACGAGTTGTCGCGTTTTCTTGACAGGTTCCGGCAAATGAACCGTATCAAGATATTCTGCGAAACAAATTTAGATCTGCAATAAAAAAAAAGGCAATAATACAGGGACCTTGCTCTCTCTCAACGGTCAGTAATTTTGATGTTATGACTGACACCTTGTTTAGAAATGATTTAAAGATAACGTATTTATATTGAGAACTAGGCATCTTTTTTCGAACATTTTCAATCATGGTTGTAGCTCAGCCATGACTTATGGGCACAGGTTTTTGTGTTTTGATTCATTCAAACTTTAGAAATCGTCTTGTATGAAGTTCACGTTAACTTTACTGCACTAAGTTATGGTGAAAGGCTCTTTGTGCTACTCTTCTTTCCCTTGGTGCTCTTGCGTCTTCTAGCATCACCAGACAATGAAACGTTTTGCTGACCATATAGATGTAAATTAAACTTAACAAAAATTGGCAACGTTTGAATGAACATTACGCTTCACCCATGGAAATCTAATTTTGTCTTCCTCGACAAAACAATAATCAAATCAGTTCGTATTTCAAAGATTCTTTACTTTTCAATTCAAGCAAACTTGCTATTTCGCTATAGCAGCGATTGCCATGACCAATATCGATGCATTTAATGATTTTCCTGACCATTCGCTAAAAACAACTATAACAAGAAAAATCTTTTGTTTCTCTTAATATCTTACGAAAAAATGAGCAACTGGATTTAATTCATCTTACCAGGATCTTTTTTTGCATCTCTCTCCATGTCTATAAAAGCAGAGTTGCCAATAATGAATAGACAGATGGTGACGATAATGACACAGATAACTAATTTCATTTTCTCTTATATCTGCAACAGAAGAGAGTGTTTGTTTTCCTAGTTAGCAACAACGATAACTTCCAGCCATAAGACATTTTGATACTTTAATGCACTAAACCAGACTAACAAGGACTTTTTCATTGGAGTTTTAGAATATTTTACATTTTGTAAAAAATAGAATACCACAAAATTAATTAACCCTTTCCTACCGGCAGCAGACATGCTGTTCAACGCAGCTTTATTCTCTGTGTGAGTGTGTCTCATTTGATTTGGAGGAAATGAAATAACGTCGGGTTCTATCAGATTGCAACATGGGTTTTGGAAATATCTAAGTATCAGGAATGATCAAATCAATGTTATTCAAACAGGTTTATCCTTACAGTGGTTATAAATCTGATATCACGCCTTTGTGCACCTCACTCTTGAGATATAAAACTCGGTTTAATCATGTTATTGAATCCCCTTTCCGCGTCACGCTTAAGAGCTCTGCATGCCATAGTCTCTTTGCATGTTTTATTACAAGGAAAGGTTGTCGTTTTTGGTAAGGTAACCTTATTTACAGTGGGTTTCCAGAAATGCGTTGCATACAAAAGAAATATGCTCTATACGATGTTTATCTAGGGACAACCCCTGAGAGAGTTTCCATTCTTGTTCTCAGGCAGAGAATGCAACTTAATCTGAACTAGATTCAAAAGTTAAAAAAGAACAACCACACACCTGTATTTGTAGATAAAGGAGAGATCTAAAGCTCAGTGAAGTTATCGACAGAACACTGCAACTGGACGGCTTGTCGTGTTCTCTTCAATAACGAAGGATGTGTTCAGAAAAGGAGTGGTTTTGTGGATGGTGCTTCTTGATTGGCTGGCTAGTTTGACGTTACTATAGTAACACTAAGTGTGCAAAGCTCACCTTATTGTACGTTTCTAGATGAATTGAAATATCAAGGCATTCCGCCAAATATACAAACAAAGAATACTTGAGAATCCGTACGTAAAAACAAATTCGCTCTGACGAGGGGCTCGAAAGTTCTCTCTGAAATTCTTTCAGAGAGAACTTTTTGGCAAGCAAGGTCCACATAATCAAATGTAAAATTTGTGTTAAAAACATCGATCGGGACCTATTGCAATGGACTATTAAAAGTCGTAATTAATCCTCCATTTACCAGAAATGTCGGCAGTCACGTTAGGCTCTAAGGATCATTGATTTTGCAGGAAAGCTCCGTTATGGGTCACTTATACCGCCATGAGAAACTTCTCGAAAGGTTTTTCATCTTCCTGTTGTTAATTATAGATGAAATAGCAATTTGTACCCCCTTGGGTTGAAAGGGGGGAGAAATTTAAGGCTTTTTTTGGGGACTGAACTTTTTCCTCGTTTTAAAAACTGACAATTAATCGGAAAGACATGTTTTGCTGACATAAGGAATGTCAGTTATTTTCCCAGACGACAAAGGAATTCTCTTCATTTGGATGCTTGGTTGAATTCAGGGAATTTCAAAGATATCTTTGTTTAAGGTCATAAAGCAGTCTAGAAGTTGTAGAATTGGAAAAGAATGCAGATTTGACAATAATTTATTTTGCTTTAACTCATAGCAGTCGTTAAACAGATGCATCAGTTAAGCATTCACATTCACTTGCACGATAAAAGACTGCCATTTGATCAAACAAGAATAGAGCTCAGCAATTTTGCTTGTTTATTACAAAACTATAATCCTAGAGGTTAAAAGTTTCCTGAGGGAGTTACTGAGGAAGTTACCAACGAAGTGTTGTCTTTTGTTCAATTGTTTCCACATTTTGCTGGGTTCACCATAAACATCTTACAACAATGTGTGCCAAACTTCCAACGGTCTTAGAAAAAATCCTTTAGACATTTAATTTATCTAGAATTATATAGAATTAAAGTAAAGTAAGTTTTGTGTAAATGTTAAGATACACCAGTTAATTACACGTGACAGTGGCCAACTCGAAAGCTTACGTTCCTTTGGTCACTGTGCACATTTTACTTTAGATAATTAATGTAATTTACTGTTCTTATATATTCTGACTTTGTAATCTATAGCAATCTCTATTGTAACCTCTTGAAATAGGGCTAATAAATGAATGCCAATGCGAGCAAAATCAAGTTGAGAAGGGATTAGCGCTGAAGTTTGGGGATTATCTCCAAGACGATACGAAGGTGATCTGTAAAAACTATTGAAGCAAAGAAAATACTATTTATAGTTCACCAAAATAAACGAACGTGTAACAAAGCCCTTTTTATGTCGTTGTCCGCTTTCAGGGACAAGTGTTCGGACTGCAGCTAGGGTTTGATCTTCGAAGATTGTTAAATATTATTATAGTTGAGACGAGAAATATAAGTGATAGAAACTGACGTTTCGGTGCATCTTGCGCCATTATCAAGGTTACATAATTAATAATAAAATGCGGTTTGTGAAGAGGCTAAGTTGAAGCAAATTTGCATAAAAAAGTGCCAAGCTAATTACATGAATACTTCAGCACGAAGAGAATCCGACTATACATGCAATGCTGGTTTAAGATCTTGAATACACAGCATTTCATTAACATGGCAGTCAAATTTGTTCGTGCATTTCTTGATTACATTGAAGCGTGTTAAGAAAATGTTCGGAACAGCAGTGTTATGTTCTTTGGAAGAATGCCTGTCATGATAGATGACCCCTTTGACTGTGTCCCTCAACGCGCTCGTGAAGGTGGCCCTTTGTGTACCCAACATAATCTGCATCGCACAGGTCACACTTGAATAAATAAAAAATGCGTCGCTGGGTTACGATATTAGGCTTGGGCTTTCGCAGGCTTAGATCTCGTTTAAGCTTGACGCTAGTAAACACGGGTTGAATGGTCTTTTTTAGCTTGCTGCTAAGATCTCTAAGTTGTCGTTTGACGGACACTGTAGCATCCTGATCTTTATAGGGGATAAGTATCAGGATGGTGTCATCAGTATGCTGTTTAGGCTGGTCCATTACGACTCTCGTGGTGATAAAGCTGTTGATGACGAAATCAATAAGGTGATTCGGATACCTCACTCTTCTGAGAAATGTCACTCCAGGATGACGATAGCCGGTGCGGGCGATCAAGCATGGTGACGAGCAGACCATGCTTGTAGCGGCTGTCCACATGGCTATGATAGTGCAGGAGTAGCCATGAGATTGTCCGCTTAACGTAAACCTTTGTTTCAACACATGGCGCGCGATTTAAAAGCTGCAGCTACTCCATTGGTCTGTTCGTATAGGGCCCCGTCGAACTGAAACAGTTGCCCCTTTTGTAGCAACGTGTAGAAGATCAACGAAATCAGTACTGGTCAGGTTTAGATCATAAGTGTCGTTGAACCAGTTGTTCTCGAAAGCTTTGCGTGCCAGGATGTCAATTGTTTCGTCTAAGGGTACGTCTGTGAAGAGCGTTGAGACGTCACAAGAGACCAAGATTTCTCCCGGGTTTATCTTAACTCGACGAATTTCATTTGTGAAGCCAGAGATATCAGTGATGATATGTTCGTTTACTGACAAAGGCCTAAGCATAGCATCAAGCCATTTAGTAAGTAGTTGTAAGTGCCCCTAGCAGATAATATAGGACGCATTGCCAATTGCCTCTTGTGGGTCTTGGGCAACCCGTATAAGTGAGCCAGTCTTGATTCTGTGGGTCGAATGGAGTCAGCAATCACCGATGATAAAATTCTGTGCACTGTTGACTCCACCAGTAATACGTAGGTGGTCTTCCTTTACTTTATGGTCTCTCTAAGGGCATAGGACAGAATTTATTTATATTATTTATTTATTTATTTATTTATTTCAAGATCTGTACATATAGAATATATCCAGGTGTTAGAAAAAAAGGATATAGCATCCCCTAAAAGGTTTAACCACCTTACACAACCCCACAAACCCAAGAAAAACAAAACATATATATGATTAGATAAAAGCATCTTAATAAGAACATGCGTTTCTTATCTTCACTCTTTGCATTTTGGACAAATAATCTTGTATGAGCGAATATTATATTATCCCCTCCAAAAACATACTGCAGACGCCAGAAGAAAAAAGATTTGAACTTGCGCTTAAAGGAGTCCAGGGAAGTAGCTAACTTAATGCCATCAGGAATACTATTCCACAAAATGGTAATTCTGTTGAAGAAAAAATCCCGGAAAAGTGAGGTGCGAGTTCTGTTTGTTCTAAGATAAAGTTCACAGCTAGCTCGGCGAGAACACCCCCTTAGAAAGGAAAAATATTCATCAAAGTGTCGTGTAAAAATTACATCTCCTTTAAAGGCTTATAAAAGAAAACTCAATCTAGATATTCTAACCAAAAACTTAGCGGAAGTAAATTTAGTTTTATCAGACGATCTTTGTAACACAGATCAGTGTTTCTATCTACAATAAAACGCGTGGCTCTTCTCTGTACCTGCACGATGAGGATTAACTGATTTATAGAAGCCGAGGGGCCCAAACTTGCGAGCAATAACATAAATGGGAGCGTACAAATGAGCAGTAAAGGCGCAGAAGAGCATTACTATTGACCAGACCCGCGCAATTTCTCTTTAGGAAACCCAACATCCTAGCTATTTGCCTTAGCAACAATCGTAACTATGTGCTCCTTCCAAGGAGTGTCCTTGACAATCATAACCCCAAGATCCTTTTCAGATTTAACCACCTCCAGGTCAATTCCATGTAAACTGTAAGTACGTGGTGGGCTTACACGTTTCCTAGCTATACGCACATTTTTGCATTTTGCAGGTTGAAAATGCATTTCATTGCACAAGGACCAATATAAAAGTGCATCTAAATACTATTGCAAATTTACAAAATCAGACTCTTGCTCTATGATCTTATAGCACTTTGAGTCATCAGTAAACATTACGCTAGATACTGCGTTTGGCATATCACTAATAAATAATAAAAATAACATCGGTCCAAGTATTGACCCCTGCGGGACCCCAGATCCTACTTCTGACCAGGTAGAGCAAATTCCATTTAAAAAGACTCTCTGTTGTCCTCTAACAAGATAGGAGCAGAACCATGAGAGCAAGGGATCCCCAATTCCGTACATTTTAAACTTAGACACCAACTTAGCAGGACAGACTGAGTCAATTTGCTTGTATCGTTCACAGAGGCCTCCGATAACAACCGCAGATATTCCTGCTTATCCATCACGACTACACCTGACCCTTTGTCCGGTTTAGTGATAACAATGTCATTGCGTCTCTTTAACTCTTCGATGGCTACTAGGAGTGCCTTTGGGGGACGCGGGCCTTTCCGTTCAATGTAGTTGAGAGTAACAGATCGAAGTGTAGTGGCAGCCAGTTATTTCATTTTCTCATCGGAGAGACTGCGCTCGAGGCTCCAATAGGCTTTCTCGAAGGATGTTTTCACCTCTATTGGGGATACACGTTGCCGTAGGGCAAAATTCAAACCCTGACAACGGACAAGGTTCTGGAAAAACGAGAGTTCGCAGGATGAGATGTTCAAGATATGCACGTAGAGGTCCATCTGATTGTTGATAAGGCGTAAGATCTTGCGCGTATGGGTGGTGATAACTTCTTGGTGATATCTTGCCCCAAGACTAATCATTGTACGGAGAATACAAGTGTAGCGCACAAAACTGCAATTTTGACGACTCTCATCATAGATGGAGTTGACTTCACACTTCAAGGCTAAACTCTGCTTGAATTTCTCTTTTATCTATTCCCTAATAACGTCCCTTGAGAAGTTTTCAGACGATGACTTCCATTTTGCTCCCTTCACAAGCGCGTTGATCGACACCGTCAAAAGGCGTCATCTATTTACAGCCATTATTCC